CCCCAAAACCCCAAAACCCCAAAACCCCAAAACCCCAAAACCCCAAAACCCCTCTTAGAATTATCTACTTTAGAATTCTTGGTAATTTCCATGGGGGCGTTAAATATTATAACTTAATTACGCATCAACACAGATTGTCTTGAGAGCCATTCTCAAGGGCTTTCACAATGATATCCTTTGAAATTTTGTCTGTGCTTTCTTCTAAATCTCACATTTTTACAACATCTTCATCAGACATGGTGTCATAAACACCATCAGAAGCGATAACAACAAATCTGTCAAAAGGACGGATGAAATGCTTCTTGATTGTTGGTTTGCACGTAACACCACTATCTTTGAGTGCAAAATCACCCATAGCTCTAGTGAGAACAAGAGTTCCTCCGACTCTGTCGTTCATAATGATCCCTCCTTCCTTAATTACTCTATCATGTTCGGATTTTTCTGAAGCCTTATGATCAACTGAAAGCCTTTCCTCAACTCCATTTCTAGATAAAACTGCTCTTGTATCTCCCACATTTGCAATATATAGTACTTTATGACCGCTTTCCATCCTTATTATACCAATACAAGCAGTAGACCCTCATGCTTCTGAGTCCATCATCTTGAGCTCATCATCTATTTTCTCAAATGTCTCTTCAATAACTGCGACCAAATCAGACGGACTTTCCGATTCAATTCTCGATTTTATCTCATCCGGGAAGCGCTCTTTCAAATACTCACTCACTGTACTCCCTCCGTGGCCATCAAAGACCCCAAAGAGCCCTCAGGTAACATCACCTGCAAAATTATCATCACAACAGAAAGTATCTTCCATATAAGGCCTATACTTAGAATTAGCATTCTCATTAACAGCATATTCCTTTCAACAGCTAGCTTCCTTATTATAAACACCTGTGTCTTCAACAAGGGAGGACACTCCAGTGCTCCAGCCAAGCCCTGCTCCAAACATTGATGGTTCCATTTTTAGATTTAAATTTACAATGTTCTTGAGGAAGAGGGGTTTTGGGGTTTTGGGGTTTTGGGGTTTTGGGGTTTTGGGGTTTTGGGG